TTCTATCCCCCCTCTCGTCTTTCCCTTTTGCACACTTCACATCCCAAGCACTTGCTTACTTTCACTATTCACCCGCTTGCACCCTCATTTTGCTTATGCATGTTGTGTTGCTATAATATTTTGTGTGTGGTGTGTTTTGGACTCGGCGATCACCAACGTCACCTCATCTGGATCGAAGCGATTCACTCACACGTCGTCACACTGTGATTCGCAAGATGATATATGACATATTTGATCGGTTGACGGTACGTTTCTTCAGACTTTGCTTTGCTCACCACAGTTATACGCACTAGCCTTGGCACTGTTTTGGTGATTTGATGCACGCTTATTTGATGTATGGGTGGTTGGTTATCCTTTGTAGATCCATCAGATTAACCTTATTATTTTATTGTCATTTCCCGCCTTTTTTTTTCAAATGTGATTGGTCCGCTGCCGTTTCGTGCAAAGTTTGAGCCTTTTAGATCATTTTGGCTATACCTAAGCTTTAGTTACGTATCCTATCAGCGTGGGGCTTCAATGTTTCTAAGGTTCCCAGACTTTTGCGTACCGAGGTGCGTCTATGCCCAACTTGTTGTGCGACTGTGGCGGTTACAAAGTTTGTAGTTGTTTTATCAAAATAAACATACATAACTGACGTTCGTGCTTCTGAGTATTTCGGCTTGTTTATGTTCTTTCGCTTTTTCGAAATCGCAGGGAAGAGCCTTGGTAGGCTATGTATTGAACTGCTATGATTAAAAGTTTCTTCCAGTACTGGTTAGGGTTATTGACAAAAATGCAGCTAAATAGAACGGTTTTGCTCAGGAAGTTTCATTTCATGAAAATTCGTCAGTAGATTTTTTTCTCATTCGAAATGTAACCACGCGGATCTCGTAATATCTAGGTGCTCAAATCACGAACTCTGCAAGTGTCGTCTTTGGAGGGTATCTGGCACGATTGCCATGACATGCTCAACGATCCAGACACAAAGATTCCTACACTACGGGTTCTTATAGAAATGACTGAATCCCAGTACACTTCGCTTGGATTGGCTTTGAGGCATACATTTTTCACTGTTAGTATATTTTTTGCAGCAGTTACGAGTTCTAATTGAAATTTCTCAGACTATAAAAGATATGGGTTGCGAAGAGCTAAGCGTGAAATGGCTCAATGTTTTGAGTGAGTATGGAAAAACGATTACGGGATTTGAAAAGGTTAGTTTTGAAAATATGCATGGCTGTATATTTGATAAATGTCTTGGTAGGAGATGGATGTGCTAGTCGCGTCATGGATTGAGGAGACTCTTCTAGCCAAAGACCATCCTCAAGCTCTTTTGGTACTCCAGCTTGCTCAACACTTGATACAGTGAGTTTTTCTCATAGTAAGCGTTTTTAGCGATCACTTCTATCTCAGGCACAACTCTGCCTTTATTGGTGAAGAGTACATGAAATCCATAGTACACGCGGTATGCGTTAGAGCTTGTAAGACCATGGACCCCCTTATATCACACTGCCTTGATGTTCTTGATAATGTTCTGAAATATGGGTAGGGGTTTTGCTGAGTTGTGCTTCATGTTGCTGAACGTTCTAGAGACTTACCTCCATCCGAACTGATGGCTGTAGTGGCTACTTTTTGTGTGCTGGTCTGTGAGAACAGGTTTCGAGAGCAAGCTTGGTCACTTGCAAGAGC